TGTGTGTGTGTGTGTGTGTGTGAGAGAGAGAGAGAGAGAGAGAGAGAGAGAGAGAGAGAGAAATCTAGGAGTGTGGCAAATTCACTAGAGTGGGAGCATAAGCTCTCTGAGGGCCTATGGTAAATTGCTGGTTTCACAACTCATTGACGGACTTCTGTGTTGATGGGTAGAACCTTCATGAAACAGGTTAAATGCTCCAGAATATGTTCTTTCATTTACAGAGAGGACATGGAAATACATTTACTGATATCCTTAAAAGCCATAAACAATCAGACTAGACTACATGGCTTCAGGCCTTAACAGCTCCCTGTATGACAGAGTAGGATAGCCAGTGCTGGGAGGTATTGCCATCAAATCACCTGGCCATTCCCTCTGAGTTATCCCCATCTTCCTGAGCAAGTATTCAGGTGGCGGAGTGATAGTTGCTTTTTGCTGGTCTAGGCTGACTTTGTGACTCATTGAACTTTTTCTCTAACCGCATCACAGTGGTGCCTCACTTACTTCAGTCTCAATTTTGGCAAATGGGGGGGGGGAACCCTTCGCTACTTTTGGTATTTTGCCACAGGATTTTGGTCAATGAAATGAATATGCAGTCAGAACAGTCTAATTAAAGTTTGTTAAACTCTAACTATCTGTGCAGAATACCACCCATCTCTCAGCAACTCTGCATGAACTTTTTTTCAGCAGGATGGAAATGGTGAGAAATATGCTAAAGAAGAGGTCTCAAACCCAGGAGGGGAGGGGGAACGAGTGCCTTAAGGGCACTCCTTCCTGCTTTCAGCCTCTTTCGAGGCTTGCAACTCACCTGCCCACCTTGGGGGGGGGGTAGTGTGAGTTTTACTGGTTGCCTTTGGGGGCCGGATAGGAATTTTTAACCCACTTCATGATTGGTTGGTGGTTGTCTTTTTGTTTTTTTGCCTATTCCACACAGGGAGGTGCTATCAGGGTGGTCAAACTGGCAGGTAGTACGTAGAGAATGAAGATCGATAGGTGAGTCCCCTTATGAGCACAGGGAAGGTTATAGCCCATCCAACCTCCTAGCACTGCAGATCATGAAATTATAGGGTGGGTGGGTGGATGAGTTGGGGCCACACATGGCTACCAATAGCATGGGGGCCCAAGGCCCAGAGGTGGTCAGATCATGGCTAGCTGGGATCACACTGTCTTCAGGACCACACAAAATTGGGACATGGGGGCTCATTCATTTTTGTGAGAAAGGGGTCCCGTGAGACCACAGTTAGAAATCTGATTCAACACTATGGCAGGACCCTCTCTTTTGATGGGATGTTGAAGTTAATATAATGGTTAATAATAAAGTGTGGCCCTCGGTTTAATCATCATTTTCGTTTTGCCTCATTATTCCGGGTGGGTGGGCAAAATGTTTTGAGGCTATAGTAGACTTCAGCGGAGCACAGCAGGAAAACTGAGGGAATGGCAGGGAGAAACTTTGAGTGTAGTTACCAGTCTTGAACTCTGAGCATTGGCCATTGTCTGAAGTTGTGTCGATGATGGGACCAGTGCCTAGCTGGAAAATGAAACAGCTCCTTTGGGAAAGGTGTTTTAATGATATTTTTAAAAGGATAACTTAGAGCAGTGGTTCTTAACCTTTGTTACTCAGATGCTTTTGAACTGCAACTCCCAGAAACCCCACTCAGCACAGCAGGTGGTGAAGGCTTCTGGGAGCAGTTCAAAAACATCCGAGTAACAAAGGTTAAGAACCACTGACTTAGAGTTTCTTCATATTCAATTACCTTTCCAGGAATTTCTGTGTCTGTGGCATTCTTGGGAGGATATGGAAGCAGACAGAGGAAAACATGGAGAATAATTAAACAATAACAACAACAAAAATCCCAATCTTTTTTTCTGGGGGGGGGAATTGAAAAACAAAAAGTCAATGTAATTTTTGGATGGAAAAGATGTGTGGAGAAATTTTAGCTCAGCTGCATACATGACACCATTCATTGTTAGGTTAAGGAGCTCTCTGTCAGTCACTATATTGATAGGATGGGTAGAATTCATGTGAACTGCTCTGAGTCTTCAGAAGAGACTGTGTGTGCCAAGGAAATGCAGAAACATACATTGTGTACAAAAATGCTTGATAATTTAACAAACCAGAGTTGTGAGGGAAAACACAACCTCCTTGACTCTCAATGTGGCTTAGTCATGTGCACTTGCATCTAGAAATAAGTCAAACTGAAATTAGTTGTATTTATTTCTGAGTAAATGCACATGCAAGGGCTATAGTTGTGGGCAGTAGTAATGACTAAGGAAGAGATTAATGGGTGGAACATATCAAATAGAAAAAATTCCATTCTGAGTCAGATCACTTGTATATCTACCTTGATATTGTATACTTTAATTAATCACCAGCAATTATCTCTTGAACGGGGGGGTGGGGTGCATGGCAAGAATGTACTCAGAATTAATTAATCACCAGCAATTATCTCTTGAATGGGGGGGTGCATGGCAAGAATTCACTCAAAATCTTAAAGAATGGGGAGCTCCATAGGGGCAAAGTGAGATATGCTAAACTGCAACTCCCAGAAACCCCGGCCAGCACAGTTAGTGGTGAAGGCTTCTGGGAGTTGCAGTCCAAAACTCCTGAGTAACCCAAGGTTAAGAACCTGTATCTTAAAGAATGGGGAGCTCCATATGGGCACAGTGAGATATGCTATTTTTTGCAAGCATTACTCTTTTAGCTTGGAGAATATTTACCAAATAGGATGTTTGTATCCATCACATTTTCAGATTTCATCAAACAAATTTCTGGAAACCAAGCTTCAAGCCTTCAAAATCCCTTGATATTCCTGCAGGAATTCCTCCAAAACCACTATGTGATGTGTTGAGGAGTTTTGCAAAGCTCTGTGAACATGTTTGCTTTGGGTAGGAAAGAAAGTGGTTTTCTGTTCTGAGTAAAGGGTAAAAGATAGGAAGGTCAGCCTGTGACAAAGTGGCCTTGGTTCATATTTGTGTTGGGAAAATATTTGTTTATCAGAACTCTCTAGATAGGCTTCAAGATAAGTATGGAACAGAGATATAGGACTGTGAAAAAGTGCACTCCTTCTCACTGAGACTATGCCATGGGCATAAGCTAAAAGTAGACTGGGAACTACTGGAAGATCTCTAGGAGATGCACAATAGTTCTGCAAAGAATTGCTACTAACAATAAAGGTCACCAAAAAAGCCTAGTTTTAGAAGCAGTAGCCATGTTAATTTGTGCTAGCATGTCAGGCAAAACCAAAACATGAATGAAAAATAAAAAGACAAAGCCATTGTGGCACATTAATGATGAACTGCTATATTTTAACGAGAGCTTAAGTGGATATGTCCATGTAAAGAAAGCCTAGGTATTCCCACAAAGAAGCCAAATGGAAAGCAAGGCATAAGTGAACATAATTTTTCACCTTCACAGTCTAGGCATTAGGGATGCTACAGTCACATGCTAAAATCCCCAGTGACAATGTAAGATGTGGACATTAGAGGTGGAAAGAATTCTAGCTGAAGATTTTCTTTGCCTGTAACATTTCTAGTGTTGTTTCCCTTGGAGAACTGAAGCATGAACACACACATATAGCAAACCTAGAACAGTTGTTGGATTACTAAGAAACATGCAGACAACCCATCCTGTGCTTCAGAGTCTTAAACAGAGGAGGAATCACCCTATTTGGGGGCAATTCACAGTTACATGAATTGCATTATTTCACACACAAAAATGGCCAGATATTTTTGCAAAGAACAAACCCACAAACAAAAAACAAAACAAACCACATTTTCATCATCAGTGAGAGAACTTTGTAGAAAACTGTTAACCGCACTGGTGAGAAAAAGAATGTTCCAGGTCCTTGCACTTACATGAAAGAATAAGAAGAATTGATTTACATCCCTCGTCTAGGGCATTCAGGAATGGATGTCCTATTTTTATGCTAGCCATGTAATTGGGAGGAGAAGCACTACTCTGTTGTCAGGAATAGCATTGCTCAGAGAATTTGGCAAATGACCCAAATGGGATAATGGGAAGACTTGATCTACTCTGTAAGTGCAATGTTGGGGCAGTTTTTTAAAGGTTCCATCACTTTATATATGCAAGGCATTGGACACAATCCACCCCCTTGCTTTTCCCTTGGAAAATAGAAGCATGACCCACCCACACATATAGCAAGCATTGTTAGATTATTAAGAAACATGCAAACAACCCATCCCATGCTTCAGATTCTTAAAGTAGGAATCACTCTACTTTGGACGAATTCACAGTTCCATGAATTGCACCATTTCACACAAAATGAGTAGAGTAATAGTTTTTTTTTTAAAAATTGTTTGTTTTCTTGCTTGCTTGCTTGCTAGCTTACTTACTTATTGAACGAAAAGTCTAGTTTAGAATTCACATAGAGAGAGGTTCATAACTGGCCATTCCATTATACATAAAAAAGAATACATAGAATTAGCTACTTAAAGGAGATTGTCCAGGAGTATACAGGAGGTGCAGAGCTGCCGAGGGGAGGCAACCCCATGAGAATTTGGATCACTGGGTTGGGAAAAGAAGCCTTTAAAAGGCTGCCAAGCCCTGCGTCATCCTCTTCATTCGTCAGCGTTGGGAGAAGGAGGACTGTACAGAGCAGACCATTGTGGTTTCGATTTCTACTGTGTGTGACTGTGTGTGATCCGTTCGCAAAAATTTGTATCGACTTGCGAATGGAGCCTCAACCTACGAATGAAAAAAAAGGCAGGGAAAAAGGGTGGGAAATTCAAATTTCCTCTGCCTTTTTTTTTCATTCCATTCAAACCGTTGGTTGCGAAGGGGCTGCTCTTTCGCCCCAACAGTTAGGAAAAGGAAGCCCCAGGAGGTCTCCGATGGCGGCGGGGAAGCCCTGGGGGGGGCGGTCTACCAGCCGTTCCCGGGGAGTAGACTGGACCTACCGGGGGAAGCCCTCCTGATAACACAAAGTTTGCATACCTAGGGATAAAGCTTCTTTCAGTGTGAAATAAAATATTTAACTCCTTCCTGGACAAACATTTTTAACTCCAACCTGTGAAAAAAAGATATTTTAAAAATTAGGTAATAATATTCAGACGATCACTCTGAAATTACTGTTTTTTTTCCTTTGTGGAGGATCTTAAAGTGAATGACCTTAAAGTAAGGTTTACTCAGGAGTAATCTTACCCAGTTTACTCAGGAGTTAGGATACAGTAGCAACTGCAGCCAAGGACATCTGCAGCATGAGGGGAGAACATTGGGGGGAAGGTTGGGGAGACAGAAGGGTGGCCAATTAACTGTTTCCATCCACCTTTTTCACTCTGTATGAGTTAGTGACTTCCAAGATGTCCTGTCACTAAGAGATCTGTTGAGATCTTGCAACTCAACAGTAACTCACATTAGATTGGTCTCTCTTCCTGTTGCCAGGCCCCTTCCAAGCAATATTGTCTTTTCCATTAAGTTCTGCTGAGATCTTGCAAACTAACAGCTGTGGCTTTCTTTATAGAATCAACTCATCTAATGTTAGATCTTCCTCTTTGTTTATTGGTCCACCCCATTTTCCTAGCAATAGATCTGTTCTAGTCATTTCTGTATTTCCATTATATGTGCCTGGTACAATAGGTTCAGGTTACCCATTTTTGATTAAGCACCCACTTACCTGTTTGTCTGGCTGTCTTTAATATTATGATGTGAAAAAGAAAGTATGCCCTCTTTGAATTCTATGGTTTTACATATCAGGACATAGCAAAAATCTTTTCATCCTTAGCAAATCTGAAAATTAGGTCAATTCAACCTCAGATGAACAACAACACATGACATATTACACTGTGTGATGATTTACGTATGGCCACTGATGAGTTCTAGGCAAGTTAAGGCTCCTGGTCAGATTCGGAATCACCTTCCATTTCTTAGACATTAGACCTGAAATACTGGAGAACAGAAAATAGAAAGAGAGAATAGAAAGCTGTCAACTTGAATACCCTAGATTTCAGATTTCCTTTTTAGTGGCTGAAATTCTGTTTTGTCATTTATTCTACGTTTGTTTCCACATGAAACCAACATGAATTTGACCCAACTCCAGGAGGCAGTGGAAGACAGAAGGGCCTGGCATCCATGGGGTCACAAAGAGTCAGACACGACTAAATGACTAAACAACAATAACAATACCTGTGTAGCCCAGTGGTTTTTCCCATTTTCTTCAGTAATTGAATTCAAAAATTGAATTTTGCTATAAGAAACTGATGATCAGAGCCACAATCAGTTCCAGGTCATGTTTTTGTTGACTGTATAGAGCTTCTCCATCTTTGGCTGCGGAGAACATAATCAATCTGATTTTGGTA